TTTGTTTGAGACATACAAAACTGCATAAAATAGAATTCCAGACAATCGATTAAAATTGTAATATAGAAATAATGGAGTGTCAGTTGAGGTACCGAGAATGTTTCACTTCGTCACGTTTGATCATTAGTTCGGAAGTAATTTTCCGGAAATAGATATGAAATTGCACCGCTCTATCGATCAGTTCATCCAGAGATACGACTCGCGTGATGAATAACCGGCAGTTTCGTGGGGTTCGCTTTTCTTGGCAAAATTCATTTGCCGTCACCGAAGCCGTAGAAAGATATCGAAAATCGATATACGCAATGACTTCTTTTACCGTAGTGTAAATAAAAACCACAAAACTAATGGATAACGAGAAACTGAGCAAAAAAATGTAACGTAGGTAATAGTATATCATCTAACTTCGAAGCCGTCAATAAATGATTACGAGTACACAGGAATACAGTTTCACTCAGGGTATTTCAAGTATCAATCAAACGACCAAGAGATAAACTAGTACCGTGGCAAGTGAACAATGAGAAGAGAGGAAATGAAGACTCGAGCAAAATGCATTTAGTATAGGCCCAACAAATTAACAGCTAAAAAAACAAATGGATGAATTTGTCTTACCTCTGTCTGGACCAACTTCATGCGCTGTTGACGTATGTGCTCTAGAAAACCACGAATACAAACGACGTGTTCTGCCTGGAGTTGACGAATCAAACTCTCAATGCAAATATAGGTACCCGTCCGACCGACACCTGCACTATTATTTTTAAAGAAAAAGAGAGAAAGGAATAGTTCTTTACCGGAATAATTTGAAGTAAATAACGAATTGTGAGACAATAAAACAGCTATCAATATACGGAGTCATCTGTGAGGGTGACCAGTACAACAAGAGATAAACTCCCGAATGACAGAACCCAAGATTGGACTGAAACGGAAGTGATCAAACGCCCTTAAGTGGAAGGAGTCTCTTATAGGGGAGAAGTCTGTTGGGATTCTGCTGTGACCCTTGAGGCACAGACCAATTGATTGGTCTAAAAATAGCGTATTCCGCGCGCGAGCGGCCTTTTTCTACAAAAGACAATCAATGAAGAATGGAGCCGACGGTTTTCGCAGCACGATTTATCGGCTTTTATGTTAACGCTAAGATAACCAATTTACGTCATTCAGTTTGAACCCGTCAGCCTTCCTCACTTTAAGACCAAGACTAAACCTCTACCTTCGAACACAGAAGAGCACAGTCCACCCGATCCAGATGCTTTTGAGATACATTATTTCCCAGGAAACCTCATTTTCAGATGGAGTGCTGGTATCAACCGGCAGTACTACCTCATCTGAAGAGCGGGGTGACAGACCTAATGTGGATGGGGATCAATTTGAACTGAACATCAAAATAGTCTGACGATAGCTCAAGACGGCGTTGCTGAATAAAAAAAATACGCCAAATTAGCCAATTTACGCCTACTTTAATTGGGCCGCTATTCTTATTTAGACTGAGGAGACAGTGACTATTACCGATAACCGCAATCGTATTCATCCCTCTAAATTCTGCTACCCACCACTTCTCACGGTCATTGAGCAGGGAAAGCAAC